CTGGTAGAAAATAGTATGGTGGTTGCTGTGATGGAGGTAGAGGTAATATGCTGTGAGAATACAGAAGACACTTCTGCAGTTGTTAGTTAAGGAGGGCTTTCTAGGGAAGCTGGGCTTTGAGCTGGGCTATGAAGAATGACAACTTTCCAGAGGGCAGCTCTATGGGAAGGAGAAGCCTGTGTAAATGATCAAGGAGCGTGTTTAAGGATCTACAAGAAGCTTGATATTGTTGGTACAAGAAAGCAAGAAGGACAAGAGGTTGAAAAAGAAGCAGAAAGTGAAACCAGACAAAGAAGGGTCTTCTATTTAAGCAAAGTGGTCTTGCAAAATTCTATCATGCGATCTTCCAGCATCATTTCTAACATCCAAGGCCATATTTTCCAACTACCTTTCACGTTTGCAGCCAATACATCTTGATTGCATGTTTGGTCCCTTTCAGACCCTTTAACAGGTAGAACTTCTATACCACTTCTTGCTTCCATTTTTTGAACTATTTTTCCAAAGTCTGTTTTGGTTACTTTATTAGGCATAAGCTGGCACTCCACTGAAATGAGGCCTCCTCCCACTCAGGCAGGAGAATTGTGACCTGTTGACTCTTAGGTTGATGAGACAGGAGGACCTCTTAAGTGAACAATCCAACACAAATCTATTCAATTCTGTTCCTAACTGCAATGCAGCACTTCTTCCTCTGACCTGAACCACCCAGAGCTAGGTTGACCTCAAGCTAGGGTCCTCCAGACTGCCAAGTCTACCCAAGACTTCACACATCAGTTGAGACCATCGGGGTCCCCAGGGTCCCCCTCACTTCTGACCTGCTGGCTCCCACTATTCTTTTGGGTTTGATAATTTGCTAGAATGACTCATGAAACTCAGGAAAGCCCTATGCTACTATGATTACAGGGTTATATTAGGATAAATATATACAAATAAAGAGACACATAGTGAGGTCGGGGAGGGCTTCTGATGCAGAGCTTCTGTGTGTCCCAAAGGACGCTCTGCCCTCCCACATGTACTGGAGTCTCTCACCAACCAGGACAGTTTCCTATCTTCAGCATCCAAAGCCTTTACTGGGGCCTCCTTACATAGGTGTGATTGATGAGTCTTGCTCCCTCTCCTGAGTTCAGCTGATATTACAGGATGGGTCTTTCTGGCATGGCTAGCCCTTACCTGAGTCACCTCATTAGCATAAACCATCCAACTGTGGTATGGAGGCCTCCAGACACTTCATTCACTGGGGAATTTGCAAGGTTTTAGAGGTACTCTCTCAGAACCAAGTGCAAAGACATGATTTTTTGGCTAAAGTTAACCTGACACCATCTGACATAAATGTCAGAAAAAAGAGACATTGGAAACCTACACAGGGGTGGAGAGTCCTCTTGGCACTCAGGTAGAAGAAATATGTACTTGTGACACTCAGGTGTGGGAGATAAGAGTGCCCAATACAGAAAGTACCCAAGAGCTCCTGAAACTCGTGTAAGAGACTAGAGTCCTCCTGACATTCAGACCTGCTGTCCATCAGCCATAGAAAAAGGGACCCCCAGACACACTGGTGGCAAGAGAAAACCTTGTGACACTCAACTAGTTCATATTACTGGAACCTGCTTACATTCATCCAGGAGAAATAAAACCTCTTTCTTAGCAGGTAGGAAAATAATGCATTTCAACACTTAGAAAGGGAGTTAAATATCCTGCCTCAGACAGGGGAGGTAAGGCCTTGTCACTCTCTGGTAAATGAAGATGATAGTTCTGGCCCAGTAATGGGAGGGACAGGACCTTCTGACCTCCATGGACCGTAGATATGGAGACCTTTGTGGAGAAAGTGGTAGATCTTGGCACTCAGGTATGTGAGATGAGACACTACTCTGGAGGAAATGGGGTATCCTGAAACTCAGGCAAGGGAGATACACCCTTGTGACACTCAAATAGGTGATAGGAGGCAAGTTCATACTCAAGTGGGGGAGATAAGATCATCTGGTCACTTAAAGATGAGAGAGAAACTCCTGACATTCAAGTAGTGTCATGACCCTGGGGTAGGTCCTGTAAGACCTCTTTGAACTCAAATAGGAGATAGATTTCATGACCCTCAGGTAGGGGAGACATCAGTACCAACAAGAAGGGGGAGAGAAAATCTTCAGACAGGGAGTTGAGCTGAGTATCTCATACAGAATAGAGGAGGTCTTGTGCAGGGCAGTGAATCCATAATGTGGCCCTTCTAGCCATGCATGGTCTTGTGACTCCCACAAAATGATTGGGTGAGACTATGCGAGTAAGGTGCTTCTGTCCCACCAAGGGGATTGGATAGACTGATGATAATGCAAATATGGTGCTTGGAACCCTAACAAAGGGATTGGTCAGATTTGCCATCCTGCTAGGTTTAAGGGAGACAATCCTAGAAGCAGAATGGGGGATCAAGAAGAGCCAAGATCCAAGAGCAGAGCATGTCTTGGGCCCAGGGTCTCTGTCCTGAGAACTCCTTAGACCCAGGAGACAGAGAGGGCTATAACATCAGAGAAGGCACAAGACAGCATGAAGCAGTGACAAGCACATCAGAGTCCAACAGCAGAGAAACAGCAGGGGCAGAACCAGATCGGCATGATACAGTGGTGGGCTTCCTGGCCCGTGGAGTAGAGTGAGGCAGCTACAGTGGGCATGTGGACCCATGGAGAGAGAGAGAGCTGAATGCCTTCAGGCAGTAGGTTTCCTCTCAGAGTGGGGTGCCTCTGGGCATTTATTGGTGGAGCTAAAGAAAGAACTGTAACACTTGTCTGAGCAGGGCAGGGGCCAGGCTGCAGGCAAGGGCCAAGGGCCAAGAGCTGAGAGAGAGGCCTGCCTGTGGGCATGGCCAAGAAGCTGTCTTGACTGAGGAACTGATTCTGAGTTTTTCCTGATCCTGAATTACAACCTGTTAACTTCCCAAATAAAGCCCATACATGTGAGAACAGTCTGTGAGTTCTGTATGGCCATTGCAATGAATTATCAAACTTAGCAGAGAAGTAGAGAGTGATGTGGGAAGGGCAGCTGGTGTCAGGTTTGGTGTAAAGGTTGGAGGGAGGAGGTATGTCTGTCCTCTGCCTCATAGGAATCAGCTCTGGGCTGCTCATGATCTTGATTCTTTCTCCTCCCCCTTGTGAAGTTACATGAAGTTTGGTGACACCATGCTGCCATTTTCACACCTTGTGATACCTAGGAGCTAAAAGCTCATGACATTTAGGTAGAGAGTTGAGAGTATACTCAAGATGAGGATGTGAGACTTCCTGGCACTCAGGTAGGGGAAGTGAGAACACTCCAAAGGGCAGTTGAGACCTCAGAACACTCATGTAGACAAGATGCAGCATCTTGACATTCAGATAGAGGATATGAGACCTCTTGATTCTCAGGCAGAGAAGATGGACCACAATAACACTCAGGTGGTGGAGAGGAGACCTTGGGCACACGTTCAGGGAGAGGAGAGGATCCTTCTGACAATCAGATAAGGTGTACAAGACCTACTGGACATTCAGTTGGAGGATGTGACTCCTGAAAGTTAGGTGAGATGAGAAAGCCTGGTGTTCAGTTAGAGAACATGCTCAGGTAGAAGACTTAAGATGATCTGACAATCTGAAAACTCAACATTCAGTGTTCTGGTTACCTAGTGCCACTCTGACAAGAATATACCGCAAATGGGATGGCCTTAACAGGAGTTTATTCTCTTACAGTTTGGAGGCTTTAAATTCAAGTTCAAAGTGCTAGGCTCTAGGGGCTGGGTGAAAGCCCCTCAGCCCTGAGCTTCAGCTCTGCCTCTTGCTCCTGGCCCACTGAAGCTAGAGGGTTTTCTTCACTCAGACAGCTGCTGGCTGCTGAGGCTGCCAAGCCCAAGGTTGACAAGTAACAAGGCACAGTCCCGATATTACCAAATCACATGGCAGACCATTAATTCAAGTCCATTTAAGTCCCAAGGTCAGCAGAGCATGGCAGCCTGGTGAACAATGACATAGCTACATGCAGGGTTCAAGGTGCCATAAGCTAGGGACCGATCTCAAAGCTGCTTTTTATATACAGGAAGCAGACCATATCCAAAGCAGCTACTCGGCTGTTTGTGGTAGATCCCACCATGGAGTTGATTGCCAGTCTCATCATGGGGAATCACTACCACCAGCTGCCTAGACACTCAACCAGGCCCAGCCAAGATGACACACAAACATAACCACCACATTCAGGAATAGATGAGATATTCTGACACTTGGGCAGGAGAGATGAGAACTTGTGGCATACGTAGGTGTGATGCAGCCTCTTGGAGCTCAGGTAGGCTACTCGAGGTCAAGGAGGTGAGTCTGTTCCTCATGTTGGTAGAAGAGATGTGATCTTCAAACCCTCTTGTATGGGAGATGAAAACCTTTAACAGTAGATGAGATACTCTTTCAAATAGAGAAAATGATACTTGGTGATATTAAGGTATCCGAGATAGACCTCTGACATTCAAGTATAGGAAGTAAAACCTGTGGCACTTAGGTCTAGAGACAGCCAGGTAAGAAACATGAGACCTTATGATACTCAGCAAAGAATAGGAAGGTGATTTGTAGTCAGGGAAATTCAAAATGGCTCTTTGAAAAGTGTGCTGATAGCCTAGGCTCAGAAGAGGGGAAGGGATTTTGCCCCCAAGGTATTACGGATATACCACACTGAGAGGCTGATGCCCTGGAACTACTGACATGCTGCTCTGTGTCTCCAGGGGCCTTGGATTTGGAACAGGGTAGCCCTGAAACTGCTCAAAGCCAGTCATCTGGTGAGGGGCCTTGGCTGAGGAACTGGAATGAGACCTGGCCTGGGATGAAGGCGATGGGCTAGGAGCAGGGGGGACCCTGGGCAGGAAACCAGGAAGTCCCTGAACCAGTTAAACCAGGAGCTACATCTGTTCTACTCTGTGGGGGTGGGGGTGGGAGTGGGCAATGGCCCTGCTGATTGGTCAGGAGGCCGGGAACTTTGTGAGGTCACTGGGCCTCTAGGCTAGGCTGGGCAGGAGTATGGTGGAGATGCTGCCAACTGCCGTTCTGCTGGTCTTGGCAGTATCTGTGGTCGCCAAAGATAACAGCACGTGTGAGTAAGTGTCAGGGGCACCTCTGTGGGGAAAGGTATCTTTTGAGGACTGGCCCCACCCCCATCCTCTCTGCCCAGGGCTGGGTAGTAAGGGCATAACTGGGGCCTTAGCAGTTGCCTGGGCCTCATGGCTCCTGAGGCCCCATTCCCAGCTCAGATCCCCTCTAACCTTAACATTAACAGATTGGGACCCCTAGGCCCCCAGGTGTCCTGGCTTACTTCTGAGATGGACCCCTTGGATCCTAGAGCTCCAGAGCCCCTAGAGATGCTTCCCAGAGAAAGAATCCAATTCTTGGACACCAAGTCCCTGTTGTCACATAAAGGGCTGAGATTCACCACCCTTCCATCTGTGGGTGACCCTATAGGCCCCACAGTATCAGCCTCCAGGACTCCACTCCACCTGGAGACACCGCTGCTCCTAGTGTGTCCCGCACCTGTGGGCCTCCCTGTCTACCTATGGCTACTCTTTCTCTCCCTCCACTGTCTAGCCCAATCCTGCAGCCCCAACATCCCCTTAGTCCCCTGTCTTCCCCAGTCTCCATTCATACTTGCTGTGAAAGCCCCAGGACATTTCACTCTCCTTTCTCAGAACCTACACCCCCACCTCTAGTCTCTCTCTCTCTGCCCAAAGCTCTCCAGCCTGTCTTTGCACTGTCTTTCCTAATCTTGTGGCTATGCCACAAAACTCAAGAAACCAAACTCAGAACCCGGGACTCTGTGGCTCCCTGCCTCGTAACAGCTCCATAACACTGTCCCTTTCACTCCTGGGAATGCCCCAACTCTTCCAGCGGCCAGTAGACCCCCCATTTTACCAACTCCATGCCCCTGCCTGCCCCCACTTGGGAGGTTTAAGGACTGTGACCTATTTCTTCTCAGTGGGCCCTGTGGGCTACAGTTCCGGCAGAACCCACAAGGGGGTGTGCGCATCGTCGGAGGGCAGGCAGCGCCCAGCGGGGCCTGGCCCTGGATGGTCAGCATCCAATTCTTCACCGTCCACAACAGCCGGCGGTACCACTCATGTGGGGGCACGCTACTGAACTCCCACTGGGTGCTGTCAGCCGCACACTGCTTCAGTAGCAAGAAGTACGTGTGGGGTTGGGAGAGGGCCACACAAAGCCTCTTCTCTGCAGAGGGGGCTGCTGAGGGCATTGGAACGGGAGCTGGAATGTTCTCCAGGGGTCTCTGCTTGAGCCTCTTTTGGGGTCTGGCCCAGCCAGATGTGGGTGGGCTGAGGGGACCCTTGCTGGGGAGGGACTCCTGTCTAGCTGGCCCCCGAGTGGGATAACTCGCCTCACTCTGCTGCAGTAAAGTGTACCAGTGGCGACTGGTGTTTGGAGCAAAGGAAGTGATCTTTGGGCACAACATGCCTCTGAAGCCGCCTGTGCAGGAGAGGTTTGTGGAGAAGATCATCATCCACGAGAAGTACAACTCAGAGCAGGAGCGGAACGACATTGCCCTCATTAAGGTCACCCCTCCTGTCCCCTGCGGCTCCTTCATCAGGCCAGCCTGCCTGCCCCGCTTCAAAGCAGGGCCCCCCACTGTCCCCCAGACCTGCTGGGTGGCAGGTTGGGGATTTGTACGAGAGAAAGGTGAGTGTAGGGGGGTTCCCGGGGGTCACGTATAGCCTCGCCGAGCCATCCCAGGCCCCAGAACAGTTCTGTGAGGAGGTGCCCTCATTACCCTTTACAGATGGCGAAAGGAAGTCAGGGAAGTGGAGTCCCCTGTCCAAGGCTGCATTGCATGATAGTGCCTGGCCTGGCTACTTGAGGGAAGGTGGAAGGCCAGTGACACCTTGGCAATTTTGGCAGGGTCAAGGCCGTGTTTGTGTTTGCATGGGGCCTAGAGCCCCAGCTGCTGGATTCTGGGGACTGAGACCTCCTGAAACAACACTTGGAGAAGAGCTGTAGACGGAGGTTTGGGTGTAGGGTTTGCTTTCCTCATTTGTAAGCAGAGGTCACATGGTGTCCAAGTTGAACCATTTCCCAAAGTCCTGAGTTTCCAGGGTCCTGGCCTACTTGCAATGCTATCTCCTGCTGTGTCCTCAGCATCTTTCTGGGGCACTGGCCTCATCCCTGGCCTGGCCTGGCCCATCCTGTTCACCTGAGTACTGGAGTTTCTCTGTAAGCCACAGGAGGGAAGGTGGCAGGCATGGTGACTGTGGGTCACAGGTACCACAGCATCTCAAGTTCCTTGGAAGTGGGGTTCCATTGGTCCCTGACATGTGAGGCAGGCTGTGGCTACCTCCCCACACCTCTGTCTTTGGCCATGTAGTCTCCTCCTGGCCTGGCTACCAGAGGCCCTCTCACCCACTGACACCCTGGCCTCTCTGGACACTAGATAAGTGGGAAGTTGAGCAGGGAGACTCTTCACACCAGCCCAGGCTCACAGAGGGCCCCAGGGCATGGCCTAGAATCACTGTCATTTCTGATTCCATGGGTATGGCTTTGAGTGCCGGACACTCCCTCCTGCCACCACCCCCATACCTAAAGCCAAGAGACGTTGAACATCTCAGTCAGGTAGGTGGCCCCAGCAGGGGCATAATGGGCTTTGCCAGCAGCACTTAGCTGCAGCTCTCAGTGAGTGTTTTGACCCAGTCACATGAGGGGTGTGAAAATGTGATCGAAATGGACTCAGTTTTCCATCTCTTCTTTGCACTGGTGCCTACTGCAAGGCAATTCAGTCATTTGGGATTTATAACTCAGGTGTTTTTCTGAAAAATCAAGATAGTAGGGCTCTTAACTCATCTTCTCTCTGCCAGAGGAAGTCTAAGCTTCTGAGGGGTCCATCTTCTCGTCCTGTCCTTCTGGGAAGAGGGTTTATCCCCAGCCATCCTGGCTTTCACTAGCCTTGGCCCCCTGACTTGGGCACTGGCTGGAGTGCCCATGGCTCCCCACAGCCTCCAGAGCAGCACAGGGCTTCTTGTCCAATTCCAATATGCTCTGCTCCGCCCTCCCATGTGACCCACCCGTGTGACTCCACCCGTGGCAGGCCCTGGAGGCTGCTCTTAGGTCTACACCCAGACCGCTCCCTGGCCTTCCTTCCGAGCCTGTTGTTCAGGAGGTTGTGGGCTCCCAGGCTGCATCTTGGTGGTCATGCAACACACCTTATGCTCTGGAATCCCTCTATACTTAATGGTGTTTCTATCTTTTTTTTTTTTTTTTTGCAAACACATCCCTCATCCTTAAGCCCAAGTCTTAAGGAAGTCCTCAGGCGTTCTCCTCCTTCCTTTTTGAACTCTGAAAAGGGAGGAGGGCTCTGGAATCCCTCTTCCTCTCCCACTGAATGCTGAGTTCTTGCAGGCTTTGTGGCATTTGTCATTTAAATCCAAGCTGCTGGAATGGACCAAACCCTTTCCTGTGTCAGTACTCCTAGCTCTTAAAGCTTTCAAGACACAGATTAAAAAAGTCACTTTAACGACTTAAAAGCCGGGACTCCTCTCCCTGTTGCTTCAGTGTTTCTCCATCCATGTAAAAGAAAGGTGGGTGAAGGGATCAAAAAAGGTAACCCGGACTATGCAAACACGTGTTCAGCGCGTTTCCTGATGCCTGCTATATGCCTAGCCCCACACTTCCGTTCTTCCCATGTGGGCTACACAGCCACGTTATGGGTCTGCTCCCATCTGCTCTGCAGACGGTGCTCCAATCCAGAGAGTGGTTAGTTCACATTTTTCATGCTTGGCAAGGACACTGGTAGATCAGGCAGTATATCAGACCAGCTGCTGCTTTTGGGATCCACTGTCTGTGGGACCAGCATTGAAGATGGTACAACTACGTTGTTCCTGGGCTCTGTCTAAGCCACATGAAATATTGGCTGCATGAGCTACAGTGCAGGTAATGGTGTGGAGGCTATGAAGGAAGTTCTGACTTGGCCTCATGGGCCATTTCAATCCTCCATGCTCTTGACAGGGCTGCCTGTGTGTGTATGCATGGCCACACCACTTCCTGTATCATCTCCTCAGAACAGATACTAGCATGTGAGGAAGGGCTCATCCTCCCAACTCCAGTGAGAACTTTGTCATCTCATATCATATCCACGTGGGGTGGAGAAGTCTTGATAGGGAATAAAAAGACAGAGGGTGAATTATAGCTGGACTATGGGGTGTGAAATGTGTGTCCCAGACTTGAGTCTGGAAGGGAACAATCAGAGGTCTGAATCCAAGTCATACCATACCTCTAATGTGACCTTGGCCAAGTGGTGTGTTGATATTCTCATCAACAGCAGCACCTAACTCATGAAGTTGTGAGGATTTAATGATATGATGCTCACAAAGTCAACACTTGCTGGTTGGGGTTGGGGCTATTATTGACTCCAATCAACTTCCACAATCCATCTCCACCATTAGACCTACATTTCCTCAGCTTCACCCATCTATCCTCTATCCACCGTCCATCATCTGTCCAACAACCTTCTTCCTCTGTCCACCTACTTCCCCTTCTTCAATTCCTCTCTCCTCCACCCATTCATTCCATACGCTCACCCACCTCTACTTTCCATCTCATCAGTCCTCTGGGCTGTGCATTTTTTCCCGTTCAGGAGTGTAGGGGAAAGGACAGGAGCATTAACTTTCATGGGTGACTGATTGCAAAATGTCATGACAGGCTCTGAGGTTTAAATACAACAGTGTAGGAGGACAAGGGGACTCAGTGGAGGGGAGGAGGCAGCAGGGTCTTCCCAGAACATCTCTTCAGTGATCACTGACCACTAAGTCATCTGGCTGTAGCCTCCAGGCCATCGCCTATCCTGCGGGAAGCCCGTGTGAACCTCATTGACCTCGATTTATGTAACTCGACTGAGTGGTACAATGGGCACATTCACTCAACCCATGTGTGCGCGGGGTATCCTGAAGGCAACGTTGACACTTGCCAGGTAACCTTTCCTCTGGTGCCCAGGCCCCTGGGTCCCTGTTCCCAGTGAGTCTCCTCCGTGACCCCAGGCTCTGTGGGGACACCTGGTTTGGATCCCTAGCTCCCATTGTCTCCTCTCGTCCTCCCAGGCCCTGCTCTACTCCAGTGACTATTTCCTGTCAGCAGTCACAATGGGAGTGGGAGGGGACTCCAATCAGCTGCTACCACAAAGCACCAATCATCACATTGGGAACTTTAAACCACCCTAAGAAACAGAACATAGCACCCACACTCTGCTGCTGAAGAGTGCTTAGTCTTCTCCCCCAGAACACAAGCACCCAGAGCCGCTCTCACACACATACGCCCATCAGTAAACTTCTGTCCTCACTGCAAGGAATTCCGTGATAATCCATGTTCTCCTCCACTCCAACTGGAGCTGTTGGCACCACCTCAAACTGTACCACAACACCCACGCTTAGGGCCGCAGGCAGCCACAGGGCTGCAGACATCTTCCTGGAGCACTATGACCCCACTGGGCAGGGAAAGTGACCAGGCAGGGAGTGACTTCTATGTCTTTCTGGGCAGGGGGACAGTGGCGGGCCACTCATGTGCAAAGACAGCGTGGAAAACGTCTTCGTGGTCGTGGGAATCACGAGCTGGGGGGTAGGCTGCGCCCGCGCCAAGCGTCCTGGTGTCTACACGTCTACCTGGTCATACTTGGACTGGATTGCCTCCAAGATTGGTTCTAATGTCTTGCACACCATTCAACCTGGCACCCCACCCCCTCCTAGCACCCAACCGGCCCCTGCTCGGCTCCCCAGTGTCCAGCCTGTTTCTGCTCGCCCTCCTTGGTATTACCAACGCCCTCCTCGACCTCTCCCTGCAAATCCACCGCGACCCCAACATCTGCCAGCAATCCAGCCCCTACCTCCAGCTCCACCCCCGCCTCCACCTCCACCCCCCCCTCCTCCACCTCCACCACCACCTCCACCACCCCCACCTCCACCTCCACCTCCACCCCCTACTAGACCTCCCCAAGCACTTTCTTTTGCCAAGCGCCTCCAGTTCCTCATAGAGACCTTAAAGAGTAAGAGCTATTATGACGTAGAACAAACAGACATCTCTGAACCAACCTCCTCCTCCAAGTGAACCCTTTACTCCTGAGAAAAGAGATTAAATAAATATATATGTACATAATGAAGAGACTACTTTCTCATTTCTTCCTAGCTGCTCTCCCCAGCTCAACACAAACTCTCCCCCACCAAATCTACCCTCCTTCACCCTCCAGTTCTAAGAAGAAGTCCTTGTACATTAGTGCCAAATGCATTTTTACAATCACGGTTTCCAACCCTGGAATAAGGTGGCCAGGGGACATGGGCCAGATATGGTCCTTATTTCACACAATGAAGCTGACAGATGTTGAAAGTAAGAGAACCCCAGCCCCATATGCAGATTCATGGGGAAGTAGCTCCTGGGAGGGGAGCTGACTGGGAGGAGAGGTGAAGGGGCCCAGGTCTTCTCCTGGGAGGTGCATTCCTTGGTGGTATGAAGACACTGACACACACAGAGGACCTTCCCAGGCTTGGGATGGATGGGTCCCCAGAACACTAAGGACAGTAGGCTACTGGGCAGCCCAGGCAGCACACGCCCACCAGAAACACAGTTCTACTCATTGCTCAGTGGTGGCAGATGGAACATTGCCTGTTCAACTTCATTACTGGTCCACAGTTAAAACTATCAGTTCTTGGGTTAAAGTAAATTAGAAAATTATTATTTGCCAACGCTTTCCAGGAATAGCAATGGAGGTTACTTTTTGGATACCCCGGAGTGAACTTTGGGAACTCTGGTAGTGTAGTGCCCAAGACATTTGACTACTAACCAGAAGGCTGGTGGTTCAAACCCACCAGCCACTCCTTGGAAGGAAGATGGGACAATCTACTACCATAGTGATACCACCTTGGAAACACAAGGAGGGGTTGCTATGAGTCAGATCCAATTCAATGACAATAAGTTTGGTTTGGTTTGGAGTGAGTTTTGAATGACATCCTTACCAGTCAGGGGTATTTATTTCAAGATCTTGCAAAGAATAGAAGTCAAATGGAGCCATTTATGAGGAGAAAATCTGTGCTTTATGAGTTACCGCATGATATATGCATCAACAGGAAACTGCCAGAAATGCAAGCCAGATTCACGAGGGGATGTGGAATGAGGGATATCACTGCTGATGTCAGATGGATCTTGGCTGAAAGCACAGAATACCAGAGAGATGTTTACCTGTGTTTTATTGACTATGCAAAAGCTTTCGACATAATAAATTATGGATAACATTGTGAAGAATGGGAATTGTGAGGAACACTTACACTGTACATAGACCAAGAGGCAGTTGTTTAAACAGAACAAGGGTATGCTGCACAGTTTAAAATCAGAAAAAGTGTGCATCAGAGTTGAATCCTTTCACCATACTTATTCAATCTGTATGCTGAACAAATAATCCGAGAAGCTGGACTACATGAAGAAGAACGTGGCATCAGGATTGAAGGAAGACTCATTAACAACCTGTGATATGCAGACGACACAATCTTGCTTGCTGAAAATGAGAATGACTTGAAGCTCTTGCTGATGAAGATCAAAGACTTCATATAGCCTTCAGTGTGGATTACATTTCAGTATAAATAAAACAAAAACCTCACCACTGGACCAAAAAACACCATGATAAACAGAGAAAAAATTGATGTTGTCAGGGATTTCATTTTACTTGGATCCACAATCAATGCCCATGGAAGCAGCAGTCAAGAAATCAGGCGTCTTATTGCATTGTGCAAATATGCTGCAAAAGACCTGTTTAAAGTGTTCCAAAGCAAAGATGTCACTTTGAGGACTGAAGAAGAGTTGATGCCTTTGAATTATGGTGAGGAATATTAAATACACCATGGTCTGCCAGAATGACAAACAAACCTGTCTTGGAAGAAGTACAGCCAGAATGCTCCTTAGAAGCAAGGGTGGTGAGACTTTGTTTCACTACTTTGGACATGTTCTCAAGGAGGAGCAGTCTCTGGAGGACATCATGCTTGATAAAGTAGAGGGTCAGTGAAAAAGGAAGGCCCTCAATGAGAAGGCTTGACACAGAGGCTGCAACAGTGGGTACAAACATAGCAATGACTGTGAGGATGGCAGAGGACAGGGCAGTGTGTGATTCTGTTGAACACGGGGTTGCTATGGGTCGGGACCCACTCGATGTCACCTAATAACAACATTACACACAAAATGTCACATGGACCCCACATGAGGGGTCAGAAGCAAACCTAAAGACCTGGGACGGTCCAGGCAGAGTGACCTCTCAAGCTTCCATCCATGCTGCCCTGGCCAAACTGGAACTGCTCACATATATTTGAAATCCTGGGAGGTTTCAGTCAGCTGCCTGCTCTGGACTGCTCCCTGTGATTGAAGAAAGGCAGGTCTGAGAGAGAATTCTGACCCCGGCTGGTCAGCTACTGAAGCATACTCTCTGTGCTGCCCACCCAAATCTGCTTGTGAGTGTGCTGAGTGACAGAGAGGTGCAGGAGAACGGTGGGGAACCTGAATGAGAGTCGCATTCCTGCCAGGTTTTAATTAGACCCTGTGCTACCTACCACACACCAGCTATGTAGCCTTGGGCAGATACTTCCCTTTTTTTTTGTAAAACATTTAATTCATTAAAAATAATACAATGATTACATATTACCAAAAAGAACGTATTTCTATGAAAAATAATTAGATTGTCCCCACTTCCCCCCCCCAAAAAAAAGGGAAGAGTGCCTTTCTTTTCCCCTTTTACAAATCTCTTAAATGTCTGCTGTGTAGAGTCCCATATCTGCTTCTGTGTCCAGTTTGTTGCAATATGTTGTTCAGGTTAAGATACATGAAGGAAATGTGGCCTCAGGCAGAGAGATAGCTGGAAAAGAGGCGCATGTTTTAGTAGCCTTTTCAGACAACTGTGGGTGTTTTTCTTTGATGCCACATCAAAAGTCAACAAAAGAAACCCAAACCCATTGCCCTTGAGTTGGATCCGACTAATAACGACCTCTCCTTGGGTTTCCGAGGCAGTATCATTACGGAAGTAGATTGCCCAAGTCAACAAGTAGTATTTTATTAAATGGTAGCTGCTGTGTACAATGGTGTAGTGCGTAAGCCATTTGACTGCTAACCAGAACGCTGGTAGTTCAAACTCAGCAGCCACTCCTCAGAAAGAAGACTGGACAATCTACTTCCGTAGAGATACTTCCCTGGAAACCCAAGGAGGGGTCGCTATGAGTCAAATTGACTCGAAGGCAGTGAGTTTTGGTTTGTTTTTTGAGGGGAGCTCTAGTGGCATAGTGCCTAAGGCATTTGACTGCTGACCAGAAGGTTGGCGGTTCAAACCCACCAGCCACTCCTCAGAAGGAAGACTGGGCAATCTACTTCTGTAGAGATACTGCCTCAGAAACCCGAAGAGCGGTTGCTATGAGTCGGCGTCGACTCTGTAGCAGTGACTTTGGGTTTTTTTTTTTTTTTTTTTTTGGCTGTATAGAATATGAAACGTATGGATGTACTTTATGTACTAATGTGGTAGTTAAGATTGTGTGTCAACTTGGCTGGGCCTGGTTGAGTGGCTGGGCAGCTGCTGGTAGTTATTCCCCATGATGAGACTGGTAATCAACTCCTTGGTGGAATCTGCCGTGAGAAGCTGAGTGGCTGCATTAGGGATGTGGTCTGCTTCCCATATATAAGGAGAAGGTTTTTGGTTTGTAGCCTTTTGGCATGCATGTAGCCAAGTCATTGTTCAGCAGCCTGCCATGCCCTGCTGATCTTGGGACTTCATCTGGACTTGAATTAGTGGCCTGCCATGTTGTTTGGTAACATTGAGACTGTGCCTTTTTACTTGTCAACCTTGGGCTTGTCAGCCTCAGCAGCCAGCAGCTGTCTGAGTGAAGAAAAGCCTCCAGCTTCAGTGGGCCAGGAGCAGGAGGCAGAGCTGAAGCCCAGGGTTGAGGGGCTTTCACCCAGCCCCTAGAGCCTGGCACTTTGAACTTGGACTTGTAACTTTTAATCTTCATCAAGTCATTCTCATTTTCAGCAAGCAAGGTTGTGTCATTTGCATATCTCAGGTTGTTAATGAGTCTTCCTCCAACCCAGATGCCATGGTCTTCTTTATACAGTCCAGCTTCTCGGATTATTTGCTCAGCATACAGATTGAATAAGTATGGTGAAAGGATACAACCCTGACACACTCCCTTCCTGATTTTAAACCAGGCAGTATCCCCTTGTTCTGTTTGAATGACACCCTCCTGGTCTACGTACAGGTTCCTCCTGAGCACAATTAAGTGCTCCGGAATTCCCATTCTTCTCACTGTTATGCATAATTTGTTATGATCCACAGAATTGAATGCTTTTGCATAGTCAATAAGACATGAGTAAACATCTTTCTGGTATTCTTTGCTTTCAGGCAAGATCCATCTGACATCAGCAATGATATCCCTCATTCCACACCCTCTCCTGAATCCAGCTTGCATTTCTGGAAGTTCTCTGTTAATGTATTGCTGCAACCATTTTTGAATGATCTTCAGCAAGATTTACTTGAGTGTGATATTAATGATACTGTTGGATAATTTCCACATTCTGTTGGATCACTGTTCTTTGGGATGGGTACAAATATGGATCGCTTCCAGTCGGTAGGCCAAGTAGCTATCTTCCAATTTCTGGGCATAGATGAGTAAGTGGCTCCAGCATAGCATCCATTTGTTGAAACATCTCAATGGGAGTTCTGTCAATTCCTGGGGTCTTGTTTGTCATCATTTCCTCTAGTGCAGCTCTGACTTCTTCCTTTGGTACCGTTGGTTCTTGATCATATGCCACCTCTTGAAATATGTGAACATCAACCAATTCTTTCTTGTACAATGACTCTTCCATCTTCTTTTGACACTTCCTGTATCATTCAATATTTTGTCTGAAGACTCTTTCAATATTGCAACTTGAGGCTTTATTTTTTCCTTCAGTTCTTTCAGCTTGAGAAATATCAAGGTTGTTCCTCTGTTTTGGTTTTTTAACTCCAGGTCTTTGCACATTTTGTTGTGATAATTGTCTTTTTGAGCTGCTCTTTGAAATCTTTTGTTCAGCTCTTTTACTTTGTCATT